TTTTGCAGAACCAGGGATTGAACACGGGCCCCACTTATTCTACTGAGCTATCTCCCCGGCTCCATCAAACTGAATCTTTTCCATCAGCCAAACAAGAGCCCAAGTAACAAGGATTTCCACTTCACTTTAAAAACAGAGGCAAATGGGTTAGCAGAAAGTTACACAAATTTGGAAGATACAGGATTTCTGGCCATCATTCATCCAAATTACCCTCATCCTCAGGAGATGAAAAAGATTTCATGAACAAAAGACTTAAGTGTTTTTATTAGGATGGAAAACAAAAGTTGATAGTTTCCTTCTTAAAAAGAACAAATCACTATAAGATACATAATTTTAAAACCACAACTCTGATTAGAGCTTAACTGTATAAATTTTGCAAGGGAAAAACGATAAATGGTTTTCAGGAAACGATAAATCAGGACCTTTAGTTTGCAACACAGAAGACCACACCCTTGCCCATCTACTACCAAACATTTAAACTGGAGCCCCAGGGCTGGAGAGATGGCTCAGTGGTCTAAAGCACCTACTTGGAACACGCTTGGCAAAGCACAGGGACCGCGGGTTCAATCCCCCAGCACCACATGCCAGCCAGCCCCACCCCCTGGTGGGCTGAGCAGGCCACACACACACAATAAATAAATAAATAAATAAATAAATAAATAAATAAAACCACTTTTAAAAAAAAAAATAAACTGGAGCCCCAGAAACTCCCAGCATGGCTTTTATAGATAATTCAGAGCCAAAAAATTTTTACTTTTTGACAAAGAATGCAATTCAGTAAGAAATTAATGGACAGAAATGATAAAAGCCCACTTTGGCCAACAGCAGCATAGGATTCCTAGAGTAGAGACAAGAGGAAGGGGCTTATATGCTATGCTAGACAAGGGTACATACGTGGGCTTTACACATGAGAAGTTGGGTAAGAAAGTTCAGGTTAAACTCTATGCTTATCACAAACACAGGCTTAACTCTGTGCTTTGGTTTAAACAAAAGCTAAATCTCATTTTAAATGTGTACATATTAGGCAGTATTTTTTATTAAGCTTACTGGTGCATTTTAGGTACACGTTAACGCCTGCATTTATCACAAGGAATCTGTACCTGTGCATGACATGATTTTTTTCCCCATCCCCTTCTCCCTTCAACTCCTCTTCCCCTCCTTTACAAAAGCTTTGTTTCTATTTTTTAAATGTGATTTTATTAATGTTTTCCCAGCACTTCCCAAATTTGAAACTTTTCCATTATACATAACTAATGAAATACGGTCTGAATAAAACATATTCATAACGTTCTCCTTTCACTCATTTTTATTTCATAATGCCCATTTTTTAACGATAAATACATATTTTATTATTCCAGTTTAAAAGCTAAGTTAATAAAAATTGAGAATGTTAGCCAGCTGTGGTGGAACATGCCAGTAATAATAGCACTGGGGAGCTAAGCCAGAAGCAGCATCACAAGTTCAAAGCCAGCCTAATACATGAGACCTTGTCTCAAAAAAAAAACAAAAAAAACAACTACTAATTTTTAACATTATACAAGAAAGTTCTGTATTACAAGCAAGTCAGTTTATTTCATTTGCTTTGTTTGAATGTTTTCTTGCCCAACAAAAGTTACTATTTAAGGAGTTATACTTGGATGAAGTGCCACTGGGATAGTATCTCATCTCATGTTGTCCATAATTTTAAGAAACTATACATTAATAGAACTATAGATACAAAATTGAAAGCAAAATGCAACCACTTACTGTTTAAAATTCCTAATGTCAATCTTAAGGGAAATACATGATAAAAACCTAAACTGCAGAATTTACCTGAATCTCTCATATAATGAATTTCATCAAAGATGACCCAAGCAACTTCTCGCATAACTTCAGAGCCTCTGTATAGCATACTTCTTAAAATCTATGGAAAAATTCAGTAAGATTTAGCGGATTTTGACATAACATTCAACATTCAGACAAAATCTTTTTTTCCACCAAGGAACTGTAGATCCTCCTTAGTAAATGCAAGTATTAAAATGTTAGAGGGTTACACTTCTTGGACATCTCAGGAGTTACTAATCAGATACTAGCCACACAGAGAACTACTACCTCTACCTGCTCATCTGCACTGCGAAGCCACTTTCTTCTATGCACAGCATCTCCCAACTCCATACTTTCTAAGACAGAGGAGGACTTCAATTAACTTTTGTCTGATACTGTTCGTCCATCTCTGCCATGGGTCCTTCACAAAAAGGTTACTTATTAGCAATTATTCTCTTGATGTTTGGATTTAAAACCTTAAGGACAGATTAAAAACTTATACTGGGCACCAAAATGCAAACTGAGCAATGTCTTTGGCTGGCTGGCCAGACCAGAAGCTAATTTATGGTCTCTAATGCAGTATATCCCTGTACAACTAAAGGACATTTTATTAAAAGTATATACAAAAACAGAGTACACTAAAAATATGTAATCTTGTCCAAAATTTAAGATATTACAAGTACATGCAAAACTGTGATCACAGGGAAAAAAAATGTAAATGTAATACTGCTAGAGCTAGCCACATAGCTCAGCAGACTAAAGCACCTGCTTAGGCAGGCGCAAGGACCCAGGTTCAATCCCCAGAGTGCCGTGCCAGCCCCACCCTGGGGTGCACTAAGACTGTGACTGAGACTGGGTGTGGTGGTGCATGCCTGTAATCCCAGTGCTTGGGAGGTTGAGTATGACTCTGATCTGCGTTTTAAGACCCTGTAGGCCCTGTACTACATAAATAAATAGATAAACAAACAAACAAACAAGCCACTACTCAAAGGAAACTATGTTTTCAAATCTTTGGAACAGCAAATACAAAATAAAATATTTCAATGTCACTGACAGTGATAAATCTCTAAAAGTACTTGAAAAAATGTCTGCATTAGATAAGGAATGGCAGAAAGATTAATGCTTAAAACACGTACTAGATGAATAAATATACTAATTTTAAAAAAAGCAGATAAGGTACTATATAAATTACCTCTGTAGTCATAACTAGACAAGATGCTGTAGGATTAATGGTAACATCTCCAGTCATCAGACCAACATCTTGAAATTCTTCATACATTTCACGGTATTTCTGATTACTGAGAGCCTTAATTGGGCTAGTAAATATTACACGCTGTTTTTCCCTTAGAGCCAATGCAATAGCATACCTAGAATATGAAAATAAATAATTTAAACTTTCTTCAAATTACAAGACTTTTTAAATCTTAAGAATATGTGAATTATGTCCAAAGTTTTCCTAATTATCTTTAATACTGACTATACAGAACCTTAGTAGTATAACACATTTACTATTACTATGGTAGTCTAAATCAACAAGAACACTTGAATTTTAACTCTGGTCTCTGAAAAGTCATACAAACTTAATTACTGTTGATTTTCTTCTCTTTGGTTTTTTGGTATCAGGACTCAAACTTAGGACCTTGTGCCTGCCAGGCAGGCACTGTGCCGCTGAGCTGTATCTCTGGCCCCATAACGTAACTGCTACTAATAATTTCCCATTTTTTACAAGAGAATTTCTTGCAAGAACATGTTTGGGTCCATGAATGGAACTTTTCTACCTATCAGTTTATACATATCCAGAATAGAAACAACTAGGAAACTCAATTAGGAAACCAGCTATTAATAGAATTCAGTACAGTAATTTTAAAGGTAATTTACTCAGTTAAGTATTTAAATATAGACTGTAAAAGCAGAATTAAGTTTATTAACACTGTGCTAAACACTCTTTTTAAAGATAACAGTTCCTATCAACAGAATGCTTATGATCTGCCTAGGCAAATAAAATCATATCCACTCTAGCCATCCTCCAAAGTGATGGCATACCCTTTCCGGTGGTGATGACCTCCCCTCAAGAACATGCCTCTCACCAAAGATCTCCTTCATCCCTCTCCAGAGGAGAAGAGGAAGCACAAGAAGAAGCACCTGGTGCAGAGCCCTAATTCCTGCTTCATGGATGTGAAGTGCCCAGGACGCTACAAAATCACCATGGTCTTTAGCCGTGCACAAATAGTAGTTCTGTGTGTTGGCTGCTCCACTGTCCTGTGCCAGTCTACAAGAGGGATAGCAAGGCTCACAGAAGGATGTTCCTTCAGGAGGAAGTAGTACTAACAGCACCCTCAGTCAAGATGAGTGGGAAGCCATACCAACACACACATTTTGGACGAAAAAATAAAAAATGAAAAATAACGGCACAATTAATTTAAAAACTTGTAAACTGTGCAAACATGGTAAAATAAGAACTGTGAGACGTATGAGTCCTACCTATGGTAGTTAGCAGGCAAAGAAAGATAGAAAATGAAACAGGTTTTAGACCTAAGCAAATGCTAGAAGATATTCAAAAAACTGAACTATTGTAAAAAATAAAGGAAAATAGGGCAATGATTCAACAAATAGGAAATCAGCAGAAACACCCAAATTACTAATAACAATAACCAAATGAAAACAAATCAAGTGTGTAAAGAAAACCTTAGGTAGGCTAATGAGCACAAGTGAGATGACAAAAGAAAATACCAGTGACTATGAAGACAAAGAGACACTACCATATTAAAAGAAATGTATTAAGAGATCTACACAGTAACCACTTGCCTTAATAAAAATCCCAAAATGTTTATATTTTACACCAGTGTTATAATAGCCAAAAACACGATCACATCTGTTTACGACTGAAGGCAGAAGTGGGTCTGAATGCAAAACACACATGTACTGAATAGACAGAGGTCTTCTAAAAACTGACAAGGACTGCACAATTGTACAAATTTACTAGCACTAAACTACAACAAATACACACACACACACACACACACGTAATGGAAGTTAACATGAAACCTGAATAATAAAACTATTCAAGTGGGGGCCAGTCAGATAGCTCAACAGACTAAAGCGCCTGCTTCGGCAAAGCACAGCGGCCGGCCAGGATTCGATCCCTGATGTGCCATGCCGGCCCCACCCCCTGGGGCATACTGAGACAGCAATTGAGACTGGGTGTGGTGGCACACGCCTGTAATCCCAGCACTTGGGAAGCTGAAAACAGGAGGATCCCTACAAGTCTGATCTATATAGTAAGACCCTGAACACCCTGTAGACCCTGTACCAAATACATAAAAAAAAAAAACAACTATTCAAGTGGATTAAAAGCCATACAGTGTGAGAAAAACTACTCCATCATGTGTTAATCTTAATACTGTACTACATTGGTAAATAAAATGCTCAATGTTGCTGTAGCTTACCTGAAGTCCTCAGAGGAAATCTTAAGATCCTCAACCCACTCCCCTAATTAATAAAAGCTGGTGCGCATATATGAATATACGCTTCACTACAGAGGTGAAATCCATATAAAATTAACCATATGAAGGTGTACAATTCAGTGGCATTTAGTAATCCATAATGCTGGGCAAACAAAAAGCCAGGTGTGATGGTCCACAGCTATAATCCAAGAACTTGTGAGGCTGAGGCAGGAGGACTGCCACATATTCAAGATCAGCCTAGATTACATAGTAAGTTCAAAGCCAGTTTGGAATACACAGCAAGCCCTGTCTCAAAAGACAAAAAAAGTTGGGCAACCATCACCTTACCTACCTTTACCTAATTCTAACATTTTCACCTCTTAAAAAACATGTATACTCATTAAACTATTTTCTAGTCCCTTCCTCTCCACAGTGCCTGGGCATCCAGCAATCTGTTTTGTGACCCTAGGGACCATGGACTGAACCCCTACAAGCTGTGAGTTAGATAAACCTTTTTCCCTTTAACTTTGGATGTCAGGTGTTTTATCTCAGCGACAGGAGAAAAGCAACTAAGATATCCACTGATGGACACTTAGATAACTTTCCCTTTTCAGTAACAATACATGGTGTACAATTACTTGAGTATCTGTTTTCCATTATACGGTGTAAATATGCAAAGTGTCTATGTTTGCTTTTTTGAACAAACAATGGACTATTTTCTACAGCAGCCCTCATTAGGTTTCAAAGGCATGAGTGACCCAAAATCTCTTAAAATTATCTTTATGGTTTCCTAGCCCATAGTATATAAGCAACTGTCAGCATATATCTGAAAACTTTCTCTACTAAAAATTTCTTTTACAGGAAAAATAAAAGCACAGCTATACCCAAGGCCAGAATTAAAATGATTAAACCTAGCTTTTAACTTTACTATTTTCTGAAAAGAGGTATGTCAGTAAAAACTTAGCCCTACATTGCTGAAGAGAACTAGGGTAGCAAAAGACCAAATGTTTGAAAAATATCCTAACTGGGAAATATATCAAAATTATTTGGCAGCCAGCTGATACCATGAAGATGACACTGTAAGATTCAAACTTTCCTCCTCTAAATCTCTCTGAGAAAAGAGGGACTTGACTGATACAGGTCACTCAAGCTCTGCAAAGAACCTGGGAGATCTGGTCAACCTAAAAGAAAAAATATTCCAGTATTCATAAATATCTATCTCAATGGCAAATAAAGAAGTACGATTGGTGGTGTTCTCATTTTTTTCCCCCTCCGTAGACTTCACTCTTTAAATGCCTCCTTTTGAAGAACTATACCTAATTCAGTCGCCTAAGGAGAAAGGCAATACAGAAATAAAACATTATAAACTATTAAATGTTGACACACAAAAGTCAATCTACCGTGGACTGCAAAATACTATCCTTGGTTAAGAGCCCAATCCACTATTAGAACCGTCCAGTTCCTCTCAAACCTTAGTGGACATGCATCATTTGGTGACCATGATTCTGAGGATAAAGTCTGTTTAACAACTTCCCAGGTAATGTTAATGTGTCTAATCTGAGAACTTTTTTGACTAGTAAGACTCCAGAATCAAGGTCCTTATAAAGTTATTTCAGAAGAAAAAACACCTATCAAAAAATTGTAACATATTCACTGTAAGTGTATTTATTTATACATTAGATATTTGCACTGCTGCAATATATTTGCGTTTCTGTACCCACAGGTTCCACCTCTGCAGATTCAACCAACCTCAGTTAATAGTCACACACACACTACTGTGTTTGTACTAAACATGTACAATCTTTTTCTTGTTATTATTCTTTAACCAACATAGGATTAAAACTGTATCAGTCTTATGCTGTACTGGATGATTATACATAGTTCAGAGATGATTTAAACATATGAGAGAACTGTGTAGGGTAAAGCAAAAACTATGCATTCATGTACTTTGGTTTCCAAAATGGGTCCTGGGGCTAATGTGGATACTAAGGGATGATTTAAATATCTGACACATGAAAAACAATACAGAAAACATCCACATATAACTAAGATGGAGTAAAAGGAACTGGCTTTAAACACCCACCTCAAACTTTATTATAAAAAACAAAATCTATGAGTGTTTTCAAACAGTGGATATAAAGACAATAACCCATGAGAAACAGCACTGCCTAGATTTCCCAGTTCTAGTAGAAGGAGCACAAATGGATCCTACAGGTTTTGCTGAATTGAACACAGCAGGGTAAAAATCTGGGAAAGTTAAGAAAGGAGGAATCTGCAGGGCAGGATACCAGAAAGGAGAGAGCTGCACAAAGAAGACTCAAACATCTGCTGAGCCTTTGCAAGTCCTCAAGTAAAATGACTGTGAAGTCGCAGGAAACTATCTGAGGTCAGCAAAAAAACCCAAACCAAATGAGTAGAGAGAAAAAAACTGATCAGCACACCAGTAATTTTAGCATGTGGAAGGGCAGAGGCAGGAGAGCAAACATTCAGTGCTGCCTAGGCCATGCAGTGAGACCATGTTTCAAAATACAAAAGAGCTGGGCTGGGGAATATAGCTCAGCCACACAGTACCTGTCTGAGTTCAGTTCCTGTTATCAAAAAACAAAACAGCTAGAGATACATCTGAGTACTAGGTTCAAATCCTAATATCACTAAAAAAAAAAAAAAATTAAAAGACTAAATTTTATACCTAGAGCAATTTGGGTTATCATCCACCATGACAACTTTGTAAGTCATGAGAAACTGAGTAAAATACCAAAACCATAATCTAGTCCTGCATAAATAAATCATAAAATCGAGTCTCAAGAGGATGGTATTTTTTCAAGCAAGTGCATTCCAGAAAAAAAGCTGACAAATATGCACAGGAATGAAAAACATTCAGCATCCAAAGTAAAATTCATAATGATTTTGGTATGCAATGTAAA